GGGCAACAGGGAAATTGTATGAAAGATTGTCCCAAGAAAAAAATCTAATGTTGATATCTGCTCAATCCAATTTTGTTATCTAATTTCATTAAACCTCTTTTTTAAAATCAATTAGTTCAGGGTTTTTTTTTACCTAATTTTCGATCCTACAAATACATGTCTTCATCTACAATTAAATGAGGCTTGTGAGGATTCATTATACAAAAATCATTCAAGCCAAAAGAGGCTCTTGGGATACATGGCCTATTTGGGTTTCATTTTTCTAAAACTTATTTTCTCAAAACTCATTTTCAATCACATATTTTTTCATGAAATAATTTTACACGTAAACTCAAAACTTCCTATTTTTTAACCACACATTTTCCAACAAAACATTACTACAAAATACGTTTTGGCCCAAAAATGGGCTCAGATAGGGAAATTTCTCACAAAGTGGAGAGCCAAGAAGAAGTGTTTGATCATCCAATCCATATTCTTTCAAGCTTTGAAGAAGCTTTGTTACAAAACACCTATCTACGTACTTGCATATATCTATTTATTGGATTGAAAAAGAACTTCTTTGCCTCTGATTCCCATAATTTGTACCATTTTACTCCTTTCACATAGCCTAGAAAAATGCACTTTTTTTTTAAATTTCAGATCAAGCTTGGATCTTTGGTCACTAGATACACGCACATAAGCCAGACACCCAAATACTCTTAATCCAAAATAGTCAACTTCATTACCAGTTGAAACTCCCTCTTCAACTTTCCCATCTTGTGATGCTTGTGGTGATCTGGTTTTGATATAACACGCATTGTTCACCGCTTCTGCCCAAAAACTCTTTGGAAGCCCTGCATTTAGCCTCAAGCATCTTGCTCATTCTATAATTGTTCTGTTCATCCTCTCTACTACACCATTCTACTACGGTATTTTGCAAACTGTATAGCTTTAAATATCATGCTCATAGAATTTCAGATGATGTGAATTTGTATATTCTGTACCGCTGATATAATTAATTTTCCTGCCCGTCTGGTTCTCTACCCCTACTTTCCACAATCTAAACTTGACAAAAGTCTCAGACTTGTGCTTCATGAAATATGCCTAGATTTTTCTAGAGAAGTTAGCAACGAAAGTGATGAAATACTGAGATCCACCTTTAGACAACTCTCTCAGTGGTTCTCTAACATCATAATGCACATAATCAAGAACGTCCTCTATTTTGTACTTCCTGTCTTAAACTGTATTCTGGATTGTTTGCCAAGTACACAAAATTTGCGAAAATGCAGCTTGCATGATTTTACTCTCTTCAACAAATTCGTCTTGTGAAGCTCAATCATACCATGTTCTCTTATATGCTCCAGTCGCATATGTCATAAGATAGTGTCATTTGACTTAGATTCTGTTGTATCAACTCTGCCTACAACTGTATTTTCCAATAGTTTGTAAATATTCACTATCAACTTCTAAACCTTCATCACAATCATAGCCCCCTTTTTCATTATCAAGACCCAACTCTCCGATTATCTGACTTGTAAGAATAGTCGCGGTGTCTAAAGTGCCCAAAGAAATTAGGTTCTTTCTCAACTTTGGTACATGTCTAACATCATCCAAGATCCTCACCACGCCATCGAACATTTTAAATTTTATGGACCTCATTCCAATGGCCGTACATGATGCATAATTACACATCAGAACATATCCAAAATTACCCAAACGATATGAATCAAACCAATCTCGGTGGGAACACATGTGTATGAGAAGACTGAAACAAGTACCCATGAGTCATGTAATCTATCAGAATTACATACAAAGACTTATAGAATGTCTCCATCTATTGAATTCGAATCTCCTTCTGCAATACTAGCCAAACTTGAGGACCCATCACCTTTCTTTTCATCACCCTACTTTTTATTTGGATAGTCCTTTTTAAAGTGAGCTACCGATAGCACTTGTAGCAATTGACTTTTTTCTTGTTTTAAATCTTGGACTTCGATCTCGTATTCTCTTTGTAAGAACCACCCATGTCTTTCTTTCTTCCACCATCCTGGTAGCCTTTCACGATCAACTTTTCACCCTGTGAACTTTCGCCAATACTCAATTCTTGCTGATTGTAGGCCAATACGGCCGATTTTCCTCCAATTCAAGAGTCTCTTTACCCAACGTCAACGTGGTCACTAGGTGGTTGTACGAAGGAGAAAGAGAGCACAACAACATCATTGCTTTATCTTCGTCATCGAAGTTGATGTTAAGTCGCAGCAGATCACTAATAATCTGAATCAACACGCTGGTGTGTTTCTATATTCTCTAGCATTTTAAGCCCATAGAGCTACTACTTCAAATACAGCTTATTCGTGAGAGACTTTGACATGTAACGACTTTCCAATTTTTGCCAAACCTCCGTCGGAAACTCAACATCCATGACATGATACATGATCTCATCCGCTAAATAGAGCCGAATTGTACCCACTGCTCATGCATAGAGCTCTTCCCAATTGGCAACTGACGTAGCCTCTGGCTTCTTCTAGATAGCACCTTTACCATCCCTGGCTGCCCCAACAAATCATTCACCCTTCACTGTCACAATCCGAAATTCCCAAATACGTCGAACTTCATCACAACAAATTTTGCAATCGAAGAACTCACCATCCAGAATTGACGCTATGATACTAGTTGTTGAATTTTATACGCAATAATAAAGAAGAAAAATCAACACATGGATTTAATGCGGATCGATAATGTGCCTAAGTCCACAAGGAGTGAAGCGGAGATATTTTATTCTGTACAAATAATAGGGATACGCATCTTCACTCCATTCTATTCAGTGAAATCCGCTCTGCTTCCCTCCCCTCACTCTACTCCGCTCCGACATCACCATTTTCTTCCAGTAAATTATTATTCCACTTTATATGAGCCACATACACAACAATTTTCTAGTTCAAAATGATTTACAAGCACTATTAATTTGTCACAATCATTTAATTTGGTAATAGAATCTTAGAACGTGATTAGAATAACAATAATTGTTCATTTGCACCACATATTGTAATAACAAATGGAAAAAAAAAATTAATTCAACATTCAATAATAATTACAAAGTTCACAACTTCTGTGAATGTAAAATCAAATGGAAAATAGACCTTTATAAAAGAAATTTTGTTATAAACTAAGGAGATAAGCGAAGAAAATAGAGAAATCAATATGCTTGTATATATTATTAAGTTCCAAACTTTTATATTTATATGGAAGAATTAGGAATACAATAGAAATCATTACTAGGCCGTATGGGTATCATTGTCATTCATTAATAAATATATTATTTACAACATTCTCCTTTGAATGACACATTACAAAATAGTTGCCTCGTTAAAACATTGTCAAGAAAATTAGGCAAGACAAAACTTGATCAAAGGAAAAAGAGTACAACTGCTCTCTTGATTTCAATTTTTGTATCAATTCATCCTTGTCTTGTATGTCCATGTCTTTAGTATTGCAATTTCTGGTGAAGTATGTCTCGTGTTGTCTTGTATAGTCTTTAAATAACACTGTTTTCATACGAGATATTTATCAACCTTTGATGACTGTAATAACACGATAATTTGAAAAATAGCTCTTATAGATCTTCACGAGTCTCATATATATTAGAGTATTATTTTGAGGGTAAATTTTTTAAAGTTATGGACATTCATGACACAAAAAATATACCCTATTAAACTTATTAGGAAAAATTCGGTGGAAAAAATCTCAGTGAAGGAAAAGAAGTACATTATTCTTTTGAGTACGCTACAAAAGTTGTCTCGTTAAAAAAATTGAAAAAGAATACAACACATATTTACTATCTCTCATGATAATATCACTTGAATTATACTTTAGACATATTAAATCCTTCAAGGATAATATTAGTAGCCATGCCGATGAGTTAGCTATAATCAGTTTTATTATATGAATATCACATTTCATGCATAGTTAGACTAATAAAATATAGAATTGTGATTACATCTACCACATGATAATTTATTTATTTGTACAAGTTTTCAATAAAGTCATTATGTAAAAAGTCATACATTTCATATTACGATTTACATTTTCTATTTTCATTTCGCATAAGTGTCCACTTTTAATTTAGAAATTTCAAGTTTCTCTAGTAAATTCAATTTGCTAGGACTGTATCCATTTATTTTGCCAATCATTTCTTCGATAGATATATTTCAATAAATTCACTTTGATATCCTCGCTATTCCTCTTTTGAGATTTTACATTTTGTTATGTCTATATATACTTTTTAAAAGTACTAGTTTTTGCCCGTGAAAATGCACAGGATTGGTTACTTTATAGGCAGTGTTAGTTTTAAATGTGTTGAGTTGAATCACCATAGTCGGAGAAGAACTCCATCTCCCTTGATCTCTGTTGCAACACTAAGAAAATTAGTCCTGAAAATAAAAGGGTAATAAACTGTCATACACATTACAAAACAATTAATAAACTGTCTTACACATTACAAAATCTATTCTTGAATCTGTTTTTCATTTTTATAATCATTCCCGTCGTCTCATTGTCCAATGAATGGATTCACTGCAACCTGGAGCACCCCTAGTGATACATAGTATCACTCCTTTTAAGACTAAAATGCAAGATGATAAATGAACAAGTTACACCAGAAATGGATGAGAGAAAAACCAAGAAAATGCCTTTAACTTCATATTATCTAAGAAGAAACCTCAATTTAAAACGTATATACATTAGTGTTTCACTTACAAAACTACTATCTATCTTTACAAAAAATAAAAACCATTTGATGGCTCTCCCAACATTTTTTAAATAGATATGTTAAGATCAATTTGAGGTTTCTTGACTGGCACTGGTGATGGAACAATACTGTTGCATCGTGGGCATTTTGGGTTGTTCTTTGATATTAGCACATAAATCAGACAACTGGGACAGCCAGTAGCTAACGAGCCCGATAACTTCTCCTCATAATCAATATCACTATCTTTAACCAAGGATGAAGAATTTGAAGGTGGTTATGATGATTTCGACATTGATATTGAGCGTTTCCTAAATGTTTCTTTCTCTGCCCTCTCAAGTGCAGACTTTACTTTGTCTAGAGTGCATACACTTTGATAATTAGATGACGAAGGCGATGAGGTAGACGATGGAACCAGCTTTAAGTCTAAACCAGCCTCATCAAAAAGATTCAATGGCTCATTTGATGCCAAAGGGAAGTTGAGGTCTTGAAATTTTGCAACTGGTTTTGCCTTTTCCTGCTTATTCTCTGAAGTCGACGAGGATGAGTTTGAAGAATTACATCTCTGGATATAAACTTTCTCCGACTGAAATCAAGAATAACACATCAATGTGATAACTTATTGTTTACAGAAACGACTGCATATTATACATCGAAACACAAATAAAAATTTCATTTTGAAACTAAAACTCTTCTACTTACTATCAAAAGTAACTTGCATATTTCCAACTGTCCACTGATTAAAAATGATTTATTTTAGACTCACTCATTTGCTTATAAGTAAACTTATGAACTTTTTGAGCTTTAGCAAGACAATTGATTAATGATGCTCTGCTATTCGAGTACCAAATGAAACATTAAATGGATGGAGACACCGTACGCTCATGGAGATGTCTCCGTGCACATACGGAGGCGCAAGGAAAGGAGCTGAAAGATCCACTCCCCTGTCTTGGACGGTGGTACTTGCAAGAAGCACCATATTTACACATTCTCGTCCGCATATAGCACTACAATTTCGGCACAGTTAAAATGTAAAATATTGAAGAGATAATTCAGCCCACAGTATTTAGCTTCATCATTAATCTGGTATAAATAATTACAAGAAGAATATTCTAGATAGTACACATGGTTGTTGGTTCCTGAATTCAAGGAAGATGTTGGAATAATATTACAACATAATGTTAGTGCTAGCAATATTGAATAATAGAAGAAATACCAGCAATGAATCTGTTGAATGAATGTTGATATGTTAGTTACTGAGGTGGAGCTGATAAATGAGTTGGAATATGATGGAGCATCTTAACTCTTGACACCCAAAGGAGTGACTCCAAGCTTGTCTTTCAAGAAGAGGAATCTTGAATGAGTGAGTCCTTTGGTTAGCAAGTCAGCTATCTGATCAGAGGATGGCACATACTTGACTTCTAGTTCCTTCCCAAGCACTTTGTCTTTGAAGAAGTGAATATCTAATTGAATATGCTTTGTTCTTGCATGGTACACTGGATTTGCAGCCAAGGCACTGGCACTTATATTGTCACACCATAGAATTGGAATTGAAACTTGTGGCAATTCAAGTTCCTTAAAGAGTAATTAGATCCAAGCTATCTCTGATGCTGGTGAAGCTAATGCTCTATACTCAGATTCTGTACTTGATCTAGCAATTACACGTTGCTTCTTTGAGGACCAGACAACTAGATTTTCTCCCAAGCAGATACAATAACCTACAATCGACCTTCTGTCATCTGGGTCGGATGCCCAGTCCACATCTGAATATCCTTTTAGGTCCAGTCTATCACTCCTTTGTATCCACAGCCCTTGATTTATTGTTCCTTTCAGGTACATAAGTACACTTTTCAAGGCTTGCAAGTGAATTGAAGTTGGGGATTGCAGAAATTAACTTAATTTGTTCACAGCAAAAGTAATGTTGGGCCTGGTATGAGTTAGATATTGAAGTACTCCTACTGCACTTCTATAGATTGAAGGATGTTTTAATGGTTCACCTTCTGCCTTTGACATGGTTTTGCCTGCTAGAATTGGAGTTGGGCATGACTTAAGAATTTCCAATTCAAATTTTCTATGCAACTTACCAATATACCTTGCTTACGTCAAGTGGAGACTTTAGCTATGCCACAGCACTTCGATTCCCAGAAAACAGTGAAGTTGCCCCATATCTTTGAGTGAAAACTTTTGGTATAAATTATTTATGAATCTCTGTAATAACCTTTCATCATTCCCAGTTACTACAATGTCATCAACGTAGATGAGTGCAAATATGACTTGTTTATCATTTTTGAAGTAGAACAGTGAGGTGTCTGCAACTAATTGCTTAAATTTCCAGTTCATTAGTGTTGACTTCAGTTTGTCATGCCGGCTTTAGGTGCCTGCTTCAACCCATAAATTACCTTTTCCAATTTGCAGACATGATGGAGTTTTGATGGATCTACAAAGCCATCTGGTTGGTTCATAAATACTACTTCTTAAAGTTCACCATTTAGGAATACATTGTTGATATCTATTTGTCTGATTTGCCATCCTTTAGACACTGCCATAGTGAGTATAAATCTTAAGGTTGATGCTTTGATTACAGGGCTGAAGGTTCCATAAAAATCAACCCCAGGTTCTTGATGATATCCCTTAGCCACCAATCTTGCCTTAAGCCTTTGGACAGATCCATTAGTGTTGTATTTTGTTCTAAAGACCCACTTGCTTCCTACTATGTTGTAAGCTGGTGATGGTGGCACAAGCTTCCAGGTTTTTGTTTTCATCAGGGCATTGAATTATTCCTCATAGCTTTCTTCAACTCTATGCTTATTAAGGCTTTATTCAGGTTCCTTGGTTCTGATATTTCAAGGCTGCTGCCAACTGATTTTCCCAGGAATGCCTTTACTTTGAAAGCTCCTGACTTTGCTCTTGTGATCATAGGGTATTCTATTAAGTCCTTTGATCTTGACTAAGGCCTGACTTGTTGTTGATTTACCACATCATCTGATTAAGCATTTCCATCATTCTATGGCATCTCAAGTTCTGTTTCAACTCCTTGATTCACTACTTGATTGTTCATACTATTATTTAAGTTGAAAGGTGAGTGATGTTCAACATAGGTTGCTTCAGGAACAATAGTATCAACAGGATTTGAGTAGGTTCAGAATTATTTGGTTGAGGTGGGAACTGAAAATAGGTTACTACATACTCTAGAATCATAGAGTTTTGTTGCTTTTGGATAGAAAACAAAGACTTAAAAGGGAACTCAAGTTCATTAAACACAACATGTCTTGAAATATAGACTCTGCCTGTGGTGGATAAACATTTATAACCTTTATGAGAGTCATTATAACCGATGAACACACATTTGGTTGAATGGAAGCTGAATTTGTGCCTTTGGTAGGGCCTTAAATAGGGGTAGCAAGCACATCCAAAATCCTTAATGACTTGTAGTCAATTTCTTTCCCAAATAGAGCCAGATAAGGGGACTGCATTTTGAGCAAAGGTATAGGTAATCTGTTGATTAAGTAGGTTGCATTTTGGAAAGATTCCCACCAATACTTTAATGGCATTTTGGCTTGGGCTAAAAGAATGAGGCCTGTTTCAGTTATGTGCCTATACTTCCTTTCAATTATACCATTTTTGGCTGAAGTGTGTGGACATGGATGTCTGAAATCAATGCCCTCTTGAGTCAGATAAGTTTTAAAGGACCTATACTCTCCTCCCCAATCACCCTGTAGGGTTTTTATTTTCCTTGCAAGCTTGTTTTCTACTAGCTTCTTAAAATGAACAAAAACATTAAGTGCTTCAGATTTTTGTTTTAGAGGGAAAATCCAAGTGAACCTACTAAAATCATCAAGGAATGTTATGTAGTACTTGAAACCAGATATTCACTGAATTGGTGAAGGTCCCCATAGGTCAGTGTGCACAAGTTCAAGTGGTGTTTTGGCATGAGAAGTGGAAAGAGCAAAAGGCAGCAGGTGGGATTTGCCAAACTGACAGGCATCACAGAAGGATTTGTTATCATTTTTAATCAACTTTTGATTACAAGCTTTGAGCACTTGAGATACCATTTGGCTAGATGGGTGTCCAAGCCTCATATGCCATACATTAGCTTGAAGATTCAAAGACTCCTGACTAGAATTTAAACTGGGATCAGTGGAAGAGGTATTGTAGCAATACTTATTTGAGGTAGCAGACATCTGAGATTGATCTTGGGTGTTTAGATGAGGGAAATCCAGTTGATACAGTCCTTCTTTAAGCCTCCCTTGCAACATCACTTCCTTTGTTAGCTTGTCCTTGATAAAGTATCAGTTAGAATAAAATTCCACATAGACATTGTTATCAGAAGTTAATTGTGACACACTGATGAGGTTTTTTCTGATTTCAGGTACAAGTAGGAGTTTATTTGACACAAGTGACTTTCTGTTTAAAGTAGGAAGACGAGATATACCAAAATGGGAAATGTGAAGCCTATTTCTATTTCCTACCATTATTTCTTGCTTACCAGTATACTCAGTAGTTGAGAAGAGATTTTGCTTATCTGTAGTAATGTGGTTGCTAGCACCAGTATCAGCAAACCAAGCAGGATCATTCAGAGTACTGGGAGATGCCACAAAGGCTGTTGGTGATGTCGATGAGGAGTTGAAGTTGGTCCTTTGATTTGGTGGTGCTCCTGTATACCGTTCATCATACCTGAAGTTGCAAATGTTGGCTTTGTGTCCAACTTTTCCACACACCTGGCAGGTAGGTCTATCACTACTATTGAAACCACATCCTCTGTTTCTTCCCTTCTTCCACCTCTGAATTAGTTAGAAAATCTTCCATTGGTGATTGGTCTGTAAGTTCTGATGTGATGATGATTTGGGCCATATCTTTGAGTAAAATTTGCTGAGGTTTGATCAAGATTGATTCCTGCCATTTCATTTATCATTGTAGAGCCTACTTTTATAGGTCATTAATGTTGATTGCAATTCTTCCCAAGAGATGCTTTCTCTGCTGTGAATTTGAACAACAATGAGAGTGTAATCTTTATCCAGACTTGCTAGGACTTGAGTAACCAAGTCAGAGTGGAGAATAGCCTTGCTAGCAATTTCCAGATTATCTGCCAGCATCTTCCCTTTGTTCAGGTATTGGTCAATACTTACACTACCTTTCCTTGCCTTCTGAAGTTCACCAGTAAGAAAAGTAATCCTGGACCTATTCTGAACCCCATAGCTTTCCTTCCAGCTGTCCATAGCTCACTTGAGGTTTTAGCACCCATCACTCTCATAACATCTTGAGTCATTGAGGAATAGAGCCAACCCATGAGTAGTTGGTCTGTCGACATCCACTAATTATACTCTGGGTTTCTTATCATTTCAATGTTGGTTCCATCTTCACCAGCAATTTTAGCTCCAACGAATTCTGGAGGACACGGCTTTGTTCCCAGAATGTAGCCTTCAAAGCTATGACCACGAATGATGGGCAGTATCAAGTTCTACCATAGTAGAAAGTTGTTTTTGTCAAGCTTGATTGATACTACTTGACTTAAGTTTGCACCAAATGGTGAGAGATTTGGATTTCCTTGCATTCCAGCAGAGTTGCTGCTAGAGATGGATGCAAAAGCTGAGTTTCCTCCTGTGTTTTGTGGAGTATTATCGGCATAGGCCATAGATGCTCTAATACCAAGTTAAAATGTAAAGTATTGAAGAGATAATTCAGCTCACAGTATTTAGCTTCATCATTAATCTGGTATAAATAATTACAAGAAGAATATTCTAGATAGTACACATGGTTGTTGGTTCCTGACTTCACGGAAGATGTTGGAATAATATTACAACAGAATGTTAGTGCCAGCAATATTGAATAATAGAAGAAATGCCAGCAATGAATATGTTAAAGGAATGCTAATGTGTTAGTTGCTGAGGTGGAGCTGATGAATGAGTTGGAATCTGATGGAGCATCTTAACTCTTGACAAGCACCAAGAGCACAGTTAATGTAAAAAGGTATAACGATAC